ACCCACGCCACAGCCGTTCCCAGCGTGCTTGCCTGTTCTGCAGAACTGGGAACGAAGCCGCATTTCCAGAATGCCTTGAAGTTATGGTTCCGGAAGGAACTCTGCCAGTCAGATGCAGTTTGCAAACCCCATCTGTCTACGGTGTACAGTGGCAAAAGCGTTATTTAAATGATCACTGGAGGTCACCTGGGACAAAAAGTGTCTATGGAAACCAAAACATCGGAAAGCCAAGACGCCATGGCAATAAACGTTTATGGAAAGAGTGAAAAGTTGAAAGACCACGGGGTTGGCTGGCTTCTCTGGAGCGCAGAGAAAGGAAAAGACAAACATGAGGTTACCTAGAGCATCTTCTACCTGCTAGCAGATTCGATGTCGGTTAGGCTTAGGCTCAGCAGCAAGGGACAGAGACTCAGAATAACAGTGGCTCAACTAAGTTAGAAGTTCATCTATCACTGAAAATTCCAGATGTAGGCAGTCAGGGCTGTGGCAATTCTGCTCCGTGGCACCTCCCGGCTTGCCGCTTTCCTTTCCCTGGGGTGCACCCCTCATCTTCATGGTCCAAGATGGAAGCCGTCACACTGTTGTTCCAGACTGTAGGATGGAAAAAGGGGGAACAGAGGAGGGGTAAAGGTCACGTCCTCCGGCAAAAGTTCTTGGAAACTTTCTCATGATACTTTTGCTTCATTCCACTATCCAGAACTTTGTCACCTGGCCACACTGAATTGCAAGAAAGACTGTAACAGGAATTAGCAATTGTCATTATATTTTTTAAATGTTTATTTTTGAGAGAGAGAGAGAGAGAGAGAGAGAGAGAGAGAAAGTGAGAGAGAGAGAGCGAGTGCGCGCGGGGGAGGGGCAGAATACGAAGCAGGCTCCAGGCTCTGAGCGGTCAGCACAGGGCCCGATGCGGGGCTCGAATTCACAAACCACGAGATCATGACCTGAGCCGAAGTCTGGATGCTTAACTGACTGAGCCACCCAGGAGCCCCAGCAATTGTCATTATTTTAATCCGGAAGCAGGAGAGAACATAAATTGGGGCGGGGGGGGGGGGGCAGACCGTAGTCTCTCCTGCATGACACATGGTAGAGAGTGTCCCAGGAAGACACCGGGATGGCCGGGAACCAGATGGGAAGAACTTGATGTGGTGTGACCAGAAGTTTGGACCTTATCATACTGGCAATGAGAGCCATCAGATAGGTTTAAGCGAGAGACAGATGGAAACTGAGCAATGTTTTCCAGGGATCCTCTGACAGCTGTGCAGGCGAGCTCTTCTGGTGAGAAGCTACTGTGACCCCAAGACCAGTTAGAAGGCAGTTTCCCAGTGTGGGTGAGAGCTGATGAAGGCCTGGACCAGGGCTGTGACAGTAAGGTGGAGAAAAAAAGAAGGGAGAGTGAGACACGCTAGGGTACAGGAGGATGAACCTTGGTGACAATTAGGAAATGGGGGGGGGGAGGACACCAAGGTTTTCAGCCTGAACAATCTGATAAATGACCATGTGGCTCACCAAAATAAAGAAAGGGATAGAGAAGGCGAAGGAGGCTGCTCCCAGTGATGGAGAGAATTGATTGGTTTGATCTGGAATATGCTGAGCTGCAGGCGCCTGTTGGGTAGAAGACATTCAGCAAACAGACACAAATATACGTCTGGAGCTCTGGAAACAAGTCAGGGATAAAAGTGCCAACTCAGTAGTGTGCGTCTATGTGACGGCTGCAGACACAGTTTAGGATGGCTTGACCAGAAAAGAATGAGGGAACAGAGTCGAGGATGAAGACTGGAGAGTGCCAATGTAGTGTGAGTTCCCTGCAAAGTCTATTCTGATGGAAGGTTCTTTGGAAATTGAAGCTCAAGAGAGTTGAAGCTGCAAATGCATCCTTTTCCCAGACATCTAGGACCTGGGTCAAACTCTCCCTTTCAAGACATGGTAAAACCACTAAAAGCTTTTGCTTTCCCTGGCTGAAATACTTTAACACCAGCCAATGCTAGGTTCGGGGGGAAAAGTCATATTGAAGGTTGTGGTTTCCATTAGTACTCTGTAATACAGTAGAGCCTGTGCCCGGAAAACCTCCTGCCTCCCTCGTCCATCCAGGGAGCTGCCTTGTCATTATGCCACCAGGTCTAGGGCTGGGCAACGTCAGCAGGCTGAGGTACGTGTGGTGAGGGATGCAGATCAGAGGGCGCCTCATCTACAAACTGCTTTCAACCGCAGGGTGATTTAATGGCCCGATTGCTTTTAAGAAATGGGAGGTTGACTGTTGGTCCTAATATCTGCTTCAATTCTAGAAAAGGTTTAAAAAAATGGCATACAGCAGCCCTTTCATTTTAATTGATTCTTATTGTTGCTCGCCTCTCCTCTGCCTTCACTCCTTGCTCCTCTCCCTCCCCTTCTGATTTTAAGCAGCTGGCTAGTATAACCCGCTTGCAAAACTTGTTTCCTTGAAATTCGCTGATTATAATTTGGAAAATACTTTAGGCCAAAGAATATGGTATCAAAAGACTCAGTTCTTTGGGTGATCATTAGCAAAATGCCTTCAACTGAGGAGAATCCAAGTAGAAGGACCTTCAATGATCTAGCAAGCACTAAAAGTCCAAACCCAACAGAAACAACAAAAGCAATCTAAAACTGAAATACTAAATAGTGGTACACTTGTCTAAGTTGGAAGGTTTGGATCCAGGATTAGTATAGGATCGTAGGATTAGTGTAAAGTCCTAATTAGTATAATTTCACCCAAATGTCTACTACTTCTCACCTCCATGTACTTAACAATGTTCACTAATACTCAGCATGACTGCCCTAAAATAGTGCAAGAAAAGCTCTGATCAAATAAAGATTGAACTACAGGTCTTGTGCTCTAGTGGCTAACACATGAAAATGGGCAAAATGCAAGCTGGTGACACTTTCACTTTGGAAACGTGAAAAATTAAAGAAAATACGGTAAAATGTTTTACAAAGCAAAGTTGACTCTTTAAGACAGTCCTTTATTCTGAGATCATGTCCCTTTTATGTCAATGCGTCCTTTCTTTTATAAAAACAGTAGTGCTGGGCGCCTGGGTGGCTCAGTGGCTTAAGCATCTGACTCTGGCTCAGGTCATGATCTCACAGTTCGTGAGTTCAAGCTCCATGTCGGGCTCGGTGCTGACAGCTCAGAGCCTGGAGCCTGCTTCGGATTCTGTGTGTGTATCTCTCTCTCTTCCCTCCCCTCCCCTGATGGTGCTCTCTTTCTCTCAAAAATAAACAAACATTAACAAAAATGTTTAATAAACAAAATATATGTATTTTTAATAAAGTGGTTACATCTACAGAACTCAAATCCGACCACCCTTGAAAGGCAGTCTTGAAGGGGAGCCTCTCGGCTTTACACATCTACTCCTCACAAAGATCCTCAAAAGACCTGGTCAGGCTCCGTGTGTTTAGAACACAGCACCAAACCCTTTTCTGCTTTTCAGAAACCAGGAAGGAGAAAGGAGGAAACTTGTAATTACCACATGATGCTCAAAGACAATAAAGAGTCAGCGTTAGTTAGAACAAGCTTGAATTCAGAACTTGGGTTCTCGGGCCTCCAAAATCACAGAAAACTTTCAAAATCGCTTTTCAAGAATCACAAAGAAAAAAAAAAGCCCCCTCCTATGGGTTCTTAATCCACAGTGTTTTGATAAAACTATCATTGGGATTCTATTGTTATTTCCCAGAAACCAGCAGCCCACACTTTCCAGATGAATCTGCTCTTAAAGCTGGTAAATATGTAGGCAGGAGCCGAGCCTAGTCCATCATAGTCATTAATCACGGAGACACAACCCTCAAGTTGTTATTAGGGGACCCACAGCGCTGCTTGGTGAAGCCAGGACAGGATCAGGAGGAGTCTCTCCAAGAAAGAGTCTCGGAGCTGCCAGCGGGAGTTAGGTCTGTTTATGTGCAGGTGAGGACAGTCTTAAGAGGGGAGGGGTTTCAAAAATGGTAACGACTCCCCTGCCTCAAACATTTTCCCTGCAGAACACGGAGAAAATAGAAATCATTCTAATTCTACCACCGACAAATGACCACGGTTAACATTTTGATCCATCTTCCAGGCACAAATGGACGCACGGACAAACATACAGATCTCCACAACGATATACTTACTACATGTATAGAAGTGCATTTATAAGAACCTATTACTAGTTATTTATGGAGAGGAGAGTTGGTAAAGTGGTAGTGAAGGGAGGCTGATTTTTTTTTTTTAATTTTTTTTTTCAACGTTTATTTATTTTTGGGACAGAGAGAGACAGAGCATGAACGGGCGAGGGGCAGAGAGAGAGGGAGACACAGAATCGGAAACAGGCTCCAGGCTCTGAGCCATCAGCCCAGAGCCCGACGCGGGGCTCGAACTCACGGACCGCGAGATCGTGACCTGGTTGAAGTCGGACGCTTAACCGACTGCGCCACCCAGGCGCCCCGAGGCTGATTTTTTTTAATACACACATAATTTGGATTTGCCATAACGACATATTACTATGTTTTACTTCCCTAACTTTTTTTTTTTTTAATTTTTAATGTTTATTTTTGAGAGAGAGACAGAGAAGGGAGAGAGTGTGAGCAGGGGAGGGGCAGAGAGAGAGGAAGACACAGAATCCAGAAGCAGGCTCCAGGCCCTGAGCTGTCAGCACCAAGCCCAGCTCTGGGCTCGAACCCACCGACCGAGATCATGATCTGAGCAAAGTCGTGTGCCTAACCAACTGAGCCCCCCAGGAGCCCCCCTAATTTTTGTTTAATGGCAAAAGCCAAAGCAATCACTCTTGGGAGCGGTGGAGTCCAGTCGCGAGCACCTCCCCCGCCCCGCGTGTGCCTTGGGGGCGCAGAGGTGACCCGGCCGGGCTCCCCTGCCTCCAAGCAGGAGGCTGGTGCGAGCGCCAGGAAGAAGACTCCAGCGCAGAAGCCCGAGGCAACCCGGGCCCGCGGGCCGCTGGAAAGGCCCCGGGGGCGGGGGCGCAGGCGGCCCCTGAGCTGCGCGGGACGGTGTTTACCTGCGGGCAGGGTGAGGTGTGGTGCGCCAATGACCACTGTGTACAGAGCCTGCTTCGTTGTGCACGGGTGTCCCGCCTTCCCGCTGGTGGGTCCGCGGCCGTGGGAGGACGACTCTCCCCTGCCGGAGATCTAGCTGCTGGGGCGAGGACGCCGGGCGGCGGTCCCAGGGTGCCCTCTGGCGGAGCAGGTGCGGGCCCACGCGGGGCTGGGCGCGAGGGGCGGGGCGCGCGGCAGCAGGAGGGGCCGGAGGCTTGTCTAGCAGGGATGCGGAAGAACTTGCACCCTTCAGGGACCTGCCCTGGTTTTCCAAGGTTTGGTTTGGGTTTGGGTTTCCATTTCTCACCTCCTTGCCTGTGTACTCATATTTCCCTCCACTCCTGTCGGCTTTTTTTTTTTTTTTTTTGCAACACCAATTATTTTCTGTTCTCCAAAGTAATGTTTATTCATTGTAAATAAAAATTTGGAAAGCACAGAAACTCATAAGGAAAATAAATAAAACAGCTGTAATCTCACCATTCAAAGATAAGCATGTGTTTAAAAGTGTTTCTAGTAGTCTTTTTTTCTGTACCCAATATTATATATAATGGTGAGTGTGTATTTAAACTGGTTAATGCTATTTGAGGAGTCAGGCCTGGTGTTGAACTGGCCCATGGGAAGAGAAGACAGACCGAAAGACAAGAGAGGAAGGGCCTTCTGCCCTTAAAAACCAGGCCTCGCTGCTTCTTGGCTTGATAAACCAGTTATTCTGGTCCTAAGGAAGCTTGTCTTTTTAACATAAGCCAAAGTTGCCCCTTTACAGGAGGGAAGTAGATGGTGGTGGCCAGTGAGGTTGGGAAGGAAAGGAAAATTGGTCTCACTGTTAGCTTTAAATAACTAGAAGGTTCTAAGTATTTTGTCATGTGGTGCGGCTCCAGCCCCTGCCTGGCACCTTCTCCCAAGCTTATTCCATGTTGTTTGGCCCATCCTGTGTGATCTCCCACCTCTAGGCTGTGAGCCCCAGAGAGCAGGAATATCTCGGGCCCATTTCTTGCACCTGGAAGAATGCTGAAGTCTCTTTGGTCACTTTGTCTTCTTTTTCCTCCACACACTTTGTCCCATCATGAAAACAGCATGCTTGCTTTACAAATGTAGCTTCAAGACAATCCCCACCCCCTTCCTGCTAGATTTGGGCCTCCAAGCCAGACTCCTTTTTTTTTTTCTCCTCTTTTTTATGTTATGTTATGTTATGTTATGTTATGTTATGTTATGTTATATCCAAGTTAGTATATAGTGTAATAATGATTTCAGGAGTAGAATCCAGTGATTCATCACCTACATATAACACCCAGTGCTCATCCCAGCAAGTGTCCTCCTTAATGTTCGTTTAGCCCATCCTCCTGCCCCAAACCCTCCAGAAACCTTCAGTTTGTTTTCTGTACTTAAGAGTCTCTTATGTTTTGTCTCCCTCCCTGTTTTTTTTTTTATTAAAAAAAAATTTTGTTTAAATGTTTTCTTATTTCTGAGAGAGAGACAGAGCATGAGAGGGGGAGAGGCAGAGAGAGAGGGAGACACAGAATCCGAAGCAGGCTCCAGGCTCTGAGCTGTTGGCACAGAGCCCAACGTGGGACTCAAACCCACAAATCATGACCTGAGCCAAAGTCGGATACTCAACCGGCTGAGCCACCCAGGTGCCCCATCCCTCTCCCTGTTATATTAGTTTTGCTTCTCTTATCTTATCTTCATTTGTTTTGTATCTTAAATTCCACATGAGTGAAGTCATATATTTGTTTTCTCTAATTTCACCTATCATAATACACTGTAGTTCCATCCACATTGTTACAAATGTCAAGATTTCATTCTTTTTGATTGCCGAGTAATATTCCATTGTATATATAGCACATCTTTATCCATTCATCAGTCAATGGACATTTGAGCTCTTGGCTATTGTTGATAGCGCGGCTATAAACATTGGGGTACATGTGCCCCTTCAAAACAGCACTCCTATATCCTTTGGACAAATACCTAGTAGTGCAATTGCTGGGTCCTAGGGTAGTTCTACTTTTAATTTTTTGAGGAACCTCCATACTGTTTTCCAGAGTGGCTGCCCCAGTTTGCATTCCCACCAGGAGTGCAAAAGGATTCCTCTTTCTCTGCATCCTCGCCAACATCTGTTGTCAAGCAAAACTCTTCTTTATGGGAAGTCTGAAGTTGTCCCTCTCTCCTGGGTGTGATTGGATGTTGGTTACAGTCATTGGTTTGGGAGTAGAGAATCAACTTCAGTGCTTACATGTAACATCACATGTAAACTCCCTCCCTGTCTCTGTACTACTTGGCCCAGGCTGAGGCAGAGAGACGGGATTGTAAGAGACTAGTCTGTGGAGGTGAGGATGTTGTGGGGCATCGGGGTACAAGGTCAAATCCTCAGGCCTTCATCTCCCCTCAAACTGATATAAAATCTCATGAGATCCACATTACTCAGCAATGCCTAGTAGAGAGTTTTCCCTGTGGAAACACAAAGAAGGACCGAGTTCCCCCTTCTAGTTCTGCTTGGGTGAAATAAAGGCTTTAGGAAGTAAAAGTCACCACCTACTTGACACTCATAAAACTGGCTGGGCCATGCCTGGTCTGACCTGTCTTTTTTGGAGAATAAGAGAAAATCTATAATATCCAGAGTTGAAGGCCTGGGTTCTTCTTATGCTACATGTTAGCATTGTGCTCAGGAGCGGATTACCTGACCTCACCTAATCTCAGTTTGTTCATCTCTAGCAGGGAATAGTAATGTTACCCGGAGGTTGTGTTTCCATGATTGCTGTGGGGCCCAAATGAGCCTTGAAGCTACATTTGCAAATTTTCTCAACTTGAAAGCACTGTACCTCCTTATGTTTGATTCTCCTGAATTAATGTTGAAACCTCTGAGTGAGGAGTATGGGCAGCTTGACAGAGACATGACTCAACATTGAACTAGATGATCCTTCCACCATAGTGGTAGTGTCTCGTACTTGTCAATCAAGGACTGTGCTGGAATCGTCTTTTCGGCAGTTGAAAAAACAAGGCTCAGAGAAGTTGAACAACTTGCCTGAAGGCACACAGCTTGGCCATGACAGGCCCAGGACTGGAATATAGTCCATAACCAACCTGTCCTTGCACCCATCTCCAGCAGGAGATGGGAAAAGAGAATTCCCTTGGAATTGTTCCAGGGTGTGTGTGTCCCATGTAGGAGACATGGAGAAAGGGGTAGGGGATCTTAGGCTCTGCTCTAAATGTTTGGTAGTGGGAGGATGACCCCATTATTCTTTATGCATTTAGAATCTTTTTTTTTTATTTTTTATTTTTTTAAATTTTTTTTTCAACGTTTATTTTTGGGATAGAGAGAGACAGAGCATGAACGGGGGAGGGGCAGAGAGAGAGGGAGACACAGAATCGGAAACAGGCTCCAGGCTCTGAGCCATCGGCCCAGAGCCTGACACGGGGCTCGAACTCCCGGACCGCGAGATCGTGACCTGGCTGAAGTCGGACGCTTAACCGACTGCGCCACCCAGGCGCCCCTCTTTTTTTTTTTTTTTTTAAAAACAATGTTCTTCACATGCCATAATAGAGCTGAACACTCATTTAGACGCCGTTTAAAAATTTTATACACTGAAGTTTCAAAATAGACAACTTAATAGGCTGCTTCTATGTTAAATGAGTCACTTGAAATTAAGATTCTTTCTGTATGTCTCAGAACTGGTAGTCATCTAAGAGACTGTTTGGAGAGATACTCTGACCTGGACTTTATACTGACTGGTCAGTTTGACACAAAACACCTTCTGGTCTGCACACTGCTGCTTTCTTGATCAGCTTCAGAAACTGAGCACTGAGCCAGGTTAGGACATGGAAGCAATCTGTAAGACTTGCATATATATACATGATCCCAGAGAAGATGACCTGACCGAGCAGTGAGAATCTTTTGATTAATGGGGCACCTGGGTGGCTCAGTCCGTTGAGCATCCGACTTTGGCTCAGGTCATGATCTCAGTCTGTGAGTTCGAGCCCCACATCAGGCTCTGTGCTGACAGCTCAGAGCCTGGAGCCTGCTTCGGATTCTGTGTCTCCCTCTCTCTCTGCCCCTCCCCCACTCAAAAATAAACTTAAAAAAAAAAGAATCTTTTGATTAATCACAGTTTGCCTTGTCCTTTCCTTATTTGTGCATACATTGGCTGTTTATACAGCACACACTCAAACATAAGAGAATCACATCCCTCCTGTTAGCTGAATTTGATTTTATTATCAGAAGAGGGCAGACCAACCCCTTTTGGGGACCAAACTGGACTGCCAGGGCACTGTCCTCTGCCCCCTAGGATGTACATGGGCAGGGGGAGATAAGTTCCCCAGACTTGAACAGAGGAAGTGGAATCATTTAGAGATGACTGCTGGGGGACAGGGCAAGGAGAATGAATACACCATCCCTGGGAGAAAAAAAAAAAAAAATCCGAGAAAGGAGAATTCTTTTAGAATCCTGTTGGGGATTTTATTTTCACATATTTATCGAAGTCATTCACCTAAAGTGAGAGTTTTCACATTAGAAGTGAGAGTTTTCAAAACCAAAACACACCCGTTTCAAGTCCAATCGCTCCCCAGCGCAAGCAAGGAGAGCTCTGCAGAGGACTGGCTTGAGGGAAAGAGCAGCCACATCACAGCAGAAGAGCGCACACAGCATACACCAGAGACACTTCCTGAAGCACCAGGCTGGTGTAGAGCCTGTACACTGGATGGTGTAGAGCCCCTTCGTAATGTAGCATTACTCTCAGGATCAGGAAGTATAGCAAGGTTTCATAACATGTAAAAGACAGGAACCTAGACAAAATGACAAGACGGAGGAATTTGCCCCCAAAGAAAGATCAAGAAGAAACCACAGCCAGGGATGAACTTAAAACAGATATACATAATGTATCTCAACAAGAATTTAGAACAACAGTCATAAGAATACTAGCTGACCTTGGAAAAAGGCATAGAAGACACCAGAGAAACCCTTGTGACAGAGATAAAAGACCTAAAAACTATTCATGCCAATATTTTAAAAAATGCTACAATTGAGATGCAAAACCGACTGGATGTAATCACAATGAGGACAGAAGTAGCAGAGGATTCAATAGGTGATATAGAAGATAAAAGTGTGGGAGATCATGAAGCCGCTAAGGAGAGTGAAAGAAAACTATTAGATCACGACTATAGATTTAGGGAAAGGAGCAATTCCGTAAAGCACAATGATATCCATATCATAGGCATCCCAGAAGAAGAGAGGGCAAAAGGGACAGAAGGTTTATTTGAACAAAATATAGC